AACTGGTGACAAAGACTATCGGACATACTATTTTTCGCACCATTCAGCATGTGTCAGCGTTGCGTGTTTGTAATTCGGAAGAAATGCAGGCAGACTAGAAATCTGAATAGGTGTCAGTCATCGAGTGGAATCCAAAGGGGAAACGATGAGCTGGGCATCCGAGACGAAGGTCATATGGAGGGGATCATGTGAGGAAGAAATGAGAGCTTGTGGGCAGTCTTGGAGCCAGGTTCAAAAGACTGCAGAGAACAGAGTGCAGTGGAGGCGTGCTACTGAAGCCCTATGTTCCACTAGGAACCCAAGGGAAAAATAATAATAATAATGATAATCACCACTGACCTATTCATGCTAGCTTCTGAATAAACTCTAGGCATAGTGTGTATTTGAAACCTGTAACAGTCATGAAATCGAAAATCGATGCATACATGATGTAATTCATGGTTTCATGGTTGTAAATTTTAATTCGATCAACAGCTTGTAACCTGCTGGTACATTTTTAAAACATTTTAATGTCTCATTGAAATAAATGAAGTTTACATTGAAAAATGAAAGTGGCATTGAAATCAGGTGGCGGTCATCATTGTAAGTTTAGTCAAAGGACAAACTGTTGTTGAACATAGTGAGAGTGTAAATTTCCATTGAGCCAGAGTTCTAATAAATCTATTATACATGCATCCGATAATTTTTGTACAAGTGATTTGAAAACTTTAATACTTTTCAGTACAGATGAAGTTGGTTACAACAACTTAAATCTTGCTGTTTTTCTACCTATAAAACAAATTCTGTGCTGCACGGAATTCTATCAATTTAACATATATGAAAAGGGGAAAAGAGTATGCCTTCTGAGTCAAGATGAAAACTGTTCATACATTTATGTTTAAATCGGATTACTCTTCCAGCTGTTTTGTTTACGGTAATAAACGTTTCATTGTCATTGTCAGTTATCGTCATCACTACATGACTACCTCACAAGGAAGTGAGGTAAAGTAACTGTATATGGATATTTACACCAGGTTACTTTGCTTGCATTAAAACTGATTGACTCAATACATCGACGCACTCTCCAAATAGCCAATAAGATTGGAATATGGCAAAAAGGTGTGTCAACAATGTCCGTGCACAATTAATTTACTTCACTTCCTTGTCAAGGACTTACAATGATGACTAAAATGAGATTGAAAAATATGCCAACAAAAAACCACAGATATATATATATATATATATATATATATATATATATATTGATTGAAAAGTTGTAGAAATGATAACATGGATAACACATGGTAAGGGTAAGCTGGTCAATAGGGATAAAGCAGGAAGAAGGCGGTAAAACTAATTGGCATGCAATATGGCAATAAAAGTAGAGGTTGATATGGATGATTAAACAGAAAAGGAGAATCAGTATTACTGCTGTAATGTGTGATGAGATGAAAATGAAAAACATAAACCAATCCGTAACTACCTTCCTTGTAATCACTCAATTTGGCCAGTTTTACTCAGCTTTTTTTTACAGTTTTTTGATGTTTAAAGATGGTAGGTTAGATTGTACCATGATGACTGAATAAAGTAAGTTAATAAATAACTAAGCTTCAAGGAATACACTCACCATTGCTAATTCAATGTCTATTAACACAGCGACAAATTTCTGTTTTGTTTTTTTAATCTCATATATGAAAGACACTAAACTAAATCACCATCAGTGATTGATTTCTAACATAAACCAACACAAAACTAACACCAAGCCTTTTTATACTAAGTGTTCAGCAAAGAGTGATATTAAAACACTAATAGTTTTTTTTTTCAAAAGAAATAAAATCATGCTATTTCAAGATAGGTCAGGTAAAATTAAATGTACGTTGAAATCATTTAAAAAAACACAAATGATCGAACGGTATGAAAATGGGTTAAATAAACAAAGGAAAAAACCAGTTAAAGGGTTCTGGAGGTATGGAACACAATAAACAAATTGTAAATGGGATCCGGTTTAGGAAATATGACTAAAAGCGGTTATATTGAAGTGGTGTTAAATTCACTTACGAATCACTAAGTAATTAAGAAAAATATGATCAGGAGGTATGTGCATTAATTTACTTAATATCCCATTATATATGACTGGACAGATTGTAAGTATATATATATATATATATATATATATATATATATATATATATATATATATATATATATATCTTGAAATAAAATTATATAATGGAAAAGCTGTTACAAAATAAAAGGTTATTAGCACTTTCAGTGTGTGCACTATATCTTCATAAAACAAAACAAGATGAGAAGAAATCGTATCCAGTTTACCGAAACGGCGATAAATCTGAGTATGTCACCACTCTGCATACCTTCGTTTATCCCCAAGTTATCACTTAAGCTGTCTAGATTACATGTAGTTGGATGGTCGGTATGAATGAATGCAAGTGGGATACTTACGCTAAGCTTTTTATCGAATCCATTTACATATATGTGTTTGAGGTTTATGGGAATTTTATTTCAGGAATGTACTTATCATGACCTGGCAGCAGTTGCAGAACCATGGAAAACCTGGGAACATTAGACAGAGCTGATCCACACTAGTATGGGACTCTTCAGCAGTATGTACTCACGACCCCACCAGAGATCGAACTCAAGGCCTTCAGGTTTCGTGGTGAACAAATTACCATTGAGCCACTGGGTCGGAACCCAATGGTCCACAATTTCCTACTGCCGTCAATTTGTGATTTGGCATAACTATTGTCTACCTTGAAACGAAAGCCATATAAACCTCTAGTACTCATTAGTGACATCCTTTTAGATGGATATCCCGAAGTTCTGATGAGAAGCCGTGACCTGTGTAGTCAACCAGTCGAAAGGGAAGCGAATGCCAACTGAAGACCTTTGGTGATGGTCACGCTAAATTGTGAACTGGCAGGAGTTGGAAGCTGTGAATCACTGAACTCTAACCCAGTTCCTGAATGACAGACACGTTCGCCGTGAAACCTGAAAGTCGTGAGTTCAATCCCTAACCGGGTCGTGGGTGGGTTCTGTTGAAGGGTCCCATACTGGGATGAAACAACTATTCAGTGGTGCTAGGCTTTTAACGGTTCTTCGACTGATGTCACTCCGTGATGAGTATTACCTTGATATATATATCATCACAGCAGTCCTGTTAGTGAGACAATATATAAAAGAATTTTCGGTACAATAATATATTCAGAGCTAATTGGATACTTGTTTCGAAAAATATTTCATAAAATCTGTTGGTCTTAGTTTATTCCATTTTATCTACACAACATCATGCACTGGATCCCTTGTCAGATATGTGATGGAATCTTATTATTAAATGATAATATCAAAAATTGTGTACATATTTGCTGGGAACGGACCCTGAACTTGACAATATTTAGGCTTTGGCTGCATTCATATCATGAGTCTTTACATTCCTAATGGGATGGTCTTCTGCTTCATCTGTGAAAATTAACAGTCTACCGAATTTTATTTCAGTCACTAAGTGTCTTGCATATCCGCCTTCTTATTTTCCCTGCAATGTCAATTATACCACTTCCTTAGTTAATTAAACCTCTTTGCTCAGCTAACAAATCACTAGACTAGTAACTTAGCAGTCACTTTTTAAGTTAGCATCGTGACAGAATAGTTTTTAATTACAGTCACCGTCACTTCATTGTAATACATAAATCGTTGAATAAGATAGTTGAATCGAAGGTGAACTGCACAAATCACAATTAGGACATACTTTAATTTGGTTATTCGTAAGGAACAGAATGATTTCATTGTGGTTTTAATTATGGATTCATGGAACGCTTGATCTTTTTACATGATGAAAAGTACTTTGAAATATATGTTCGATCGACTGGGCAATCTATTCTTCTAAAGTTTGTCAGGGTCTTTACACTGAAGAACTGAGTAGCAAAGACATAATTGATTGATGAAGACAATTGAGTAGTGGTAAGTTATTCAAATATAAGATTTTGGGGCCCTCATTAAAATCAACATGGTCTAAGTGAAGCGTTACGTAGCATCTGTGTTGGCACTGTGGACTTTCAAACTAACGGCGGTGTATAAAAATTCCGAGTTCCCTTTCTCATTAAAACAAACTGTCAAAGAATCTTGTAGCTGGAGAAAACGACTTTTTAGTACTCTACGACCTTTGCTACTCTTCGAAAAGCCTTTTGCCTGTGAAAAAATTTACTGTTTACCTATTGTATTGATGGATTTTCACAATAAAAGTTTCAGAACTAAGATATAATCAACATCAAGTGTTCGTTTGAGCTGCAAAACTTTCCACAACATTTCCTGTCCAGTGTAGTGATGTAACAGCCGTATGCAAAAAAGGTGATCATTTCAAATCGGTAACGATATATATTCGCTAACGCTTAGTGCTAAACAAATGCTGCTCAGTTAGCTAGCCAATGAATTCATTCATCAAACTGAGTTGATATCATGGTGCGTTTTATGTACTGCTTGATGCTCAGAGGTATTTCAGTTATCCTAGATAGTGTTTTGATGGCAAAGTTACTCAGGATGATTCATAAAATAGTTAGAGTATTAAGATATAGTGTTAGAAGTTAATTACTTTTGGGTTGAACTAATGTTTCAGTAAGACAGTTTAATTTCAAGCCTTTGAACAACATTTGCCATCAGCATCACCAACCAATAATCCGAGAAAGAAAGAAAGATCCCTACAAAAGTGATAGAAAGACAGTAATCTTGAGTATGATATTTTATTCTCAGTAAATTTACTACTATCATATGTATCTGCATTCATATCGACTGTTGTATTCACATTGCCAATAACCATGACTTCTTCATGAACTTGAATAAGACATCTTGATGAGAATCAATATTCATAAAGTTGACAAGAATGAATTCCTATTCAGATATCTTCAGTATATATGGACTAGTCTTACTGTATCATCTACCAGTTGAGCAATTTATCTTCAATTTAATAAAGGTATGGGTAAATATAAAACGTTTCAAAATTGAAATCAGCTCACCTTGCTATCGGAGCCATGCCTAACAATGTTAGCGTGATTCGCATAAATATCCAAGCTTTTTTATTCTCTTCTTGCATTTTTGTACGTCGTCGTTGGCTTGATGCATTCCAACGTCTCCAGTAGATAATACCATCTACAATACCAGTTACTTTGCATAAAAACAAGGATAAACAGAAAATGCTTGCTTAAATTCTTTACTTTGAAAAGTGTTATCGTTTAAGAGGATAACATTTATGGATTGATATTTCTGAAGTAGAACAATTGTTTATACGTGGAGAATAAAAAATTTAAATGCCCAATATCAGCACTATAAATAATAACAATACTAATGGACTGCATAGAATTTACTATCTTTGATTATGAAATATTTATTTTATTAGGAGTAATAATACTGTCTGCTTGAGCTTTAATAGATGAAAATGGCTTAGAACCTACTATCGATCTATTGTAAGTAAATCACTGAAATCTAGTAGGTACTACACGATTTCAGAAATGAGGACTGTTTGAATGCTATAACTGCATGCACACCTCATTAAAACATCGAATTCTAGGAGAGATAGGATCACGGAGGTGAATTCCAATTCATGAATTCAAATATCATATAACGAAATGACTGAATTTGTAAACAGATTTATTCATCGAAAAAAAAGCTTTAAGTAAGTAGTTTGAACTTTAGCAACTTTTTTTATAAAGGTTATAAGTAAGGTCTTCTGTAAGATCACTCCATCACACAGCTAAGATATTATGTCCGATGGATGAACTAGAATAAAATGATGCAATAGTCAAGGAGTATCTTCAAGAAAATGATTATTCTTAAGGAAGTTAAGTGTTCAGCTTAACTCTAGAACAAGTAGAATAGACCGATCAGAAGTTAAGAGCTGCATTTAATAATGCATTTTCAGCAGCTGGATTAATACTAGTTTATAAGACAGATTGCTCGGTAAGACAAACCACAGCAGACAGATATTTATTACACGAGGTTTCCAATTACATTTACAAATTTATATTCATTTTCAGAAGCAGGCGTGTTGAAGTAGTAAAGATGTGAGGCTTCATACACTTTTTTTCAACATGTTCCATGGAATCTGAGTCTAAAAGGATTGAATAATATCAAAGGCTCAAAAGCAAACCATCTGCTGGATAGCTGGCATGATGAGCACTGAAAATAAATTTGAAATAATCGACAAGAAAGTGCTATTCTAACCTACTTTACTTGACGATGGCCATCGAAATCACAAAATGAAAACTCAACATGTCATTAGGAAGGACAAATGAGTAACCTTCATATTTCCTGACCATATGCAACCAATCTCATATACATTTATATTTTTAATCAACTGCTATCATAACTACTTATGTTTGATTCTGTTTCTGCCCTCCTCTCACATTTTACTCTAATATGCTTGCTCAGTTCTTTGTTATGTAACATAATCGATTATCAACAACCTCCCAAAACTGTCAGTTTAGTCCGTTATAAAATTGTTTCGGAAACATTCTTCAACGATTCTGCTGCACAATTCTGCTTTCCAAACAATCTTACTGTTCTGACATGACAACGTTTGTGACCAATTTTAGGGAAAATAGTTACACATCAAGTAACTGGAAACGAAGAACAACAAACTCTAGGAGACTAGGCAGGTATCAGATCTGGAGGAGGGTGCATCGATCAGACCTTCATCCATCGACAGGTCCTAGAATACAGGCGATATTACCCATGGCCAACACTTGTCATATTTCTTGACTTCAAGATGGTACTCAACTCTGTCGACTGAGAGATATTTTGGCAGTATCTGACTGTAAAGGGAGTACCAGGCAAGTATGTAATGCTAATCAAAGCATTCCACTCGAAATCACGCAACCGTATATAAACATATGGAGCGTTGTAATGTGAATATAATTAATGGTGTCGGTCAGGAATACCTGTTATCACCGTTGTTACTCGACTTCACAATAGATGTCTTAATAGACATAACCCTGTGTACCTCTGATTTCACAGGGATTGATCTACTCCCTCGAGAGCATCTGGTTGACTTGAAATAAACAGACTATATGAAAATGTTACAAGAAACCACTGACAAAATGCGGTGTCTTCTGAATGTCTTGAGCAGAAATTTGAGTATCTTTTTCATACGCTTAACGCTAGATAGGGCTTCGGGATTGGTCTGCATCAACTCCTTGTTTAAAGACAGGGAGTGAAGTGGTAAGATATGTGACCTAAGTCACTTATTTAGGAGCTTGCGTCAGCACAAATGGGTTGGTTGTTGACCGGATCTCAGCTTGGATACTAGAAGCCTGTTTAGTGTTTGCCAAAGTGTATCATCTACGGTAGGGGCGAGATATCTGACTACCTGTTACAGAAAAAGTATCCTGTACTGTAGTCCACTCTGTTGTATCATACAGTTGTGAGACACGGCCACTAGAGCTAGATGATACGACAAGACTACAAGTCTTTGATCACAGGTTTCTTCGCACTACCTATTACATATGGTAAAACCACTGTGTGAGTAATATCGAGGTTAGTGCAGGGAAGGTGAGTCAGTCAATGAGATTGTGGGCATCCACCATCTGATGTGCCTTGCAAATATGTTGCGCATGTCGAGCTACTGCCTACCTCAACGTCCAATGTTAGCTGAGGTACGACTGGAGTGGAAGAAGGCTTAGGATATTCAGATCAATGCGTGGTACCAATCCATAAAGTTTCTGACTGTTGGCTTGAGCGATGTAGGGAGTGTAGACTGTCTAGCTAAGGTCCTCAAGAGAACAGAGTTCAATAATTAAAGACTGTTGCTACTATGGCTGGAAATCGACTGCAATGGTGCATTTGTGTTTCCTCTTTGACGTCTAAAATTTAAGCATTTCTGCTAACCTTCGTGTTTTAAAAATTTCACTTCCCTTAAGCTTTTGTCTACTTTGATTTCACTTTTTTCATCCACTTGTTCTTTGCATGCTGCCATGATGTGTATCAACTTGGACATGTGTACTTCTGTGCTAGATTCTAGTTTGAGTTTATCCATCTGTCTCTTTCCAAGCCCCATGACTTAGTACCGTAGTAGGTGAATGAAAGTATCCACTCAGTCTTCTCACCTTTAGGTGAAAATTAATACAACTTTTGCAGTTGTTAGCCTTAATTGACAAGCACCAAATTGGGTTTTTGAATTTGCTTCAAGATGTAAATCCCCATAGGTAAAGGTTTCTGGGAAATTAAAGTGCTCTGTGTACTTTAGCACAAAGCTTGGTGTTGGTGCAGACTGACCGTCAAGAACAAAATCATGTTTGACAGATTTGGAGGGCTTCTCAAACATTTTCTTATCTCTGTTAAAGGGGTTTATCGAATACTGTATTTTTTGATTGCTTTTGTCCAATAAGGATTTGTTTGCGGTCATAGTATCTTCAGGTAAATTATCAGTTTCACAGTAGTCGAGCGTATCGCTTCAAACCCATTGATATACTTCCAGCAATGAAATTACAGTGACAAGAGGTTTAATCTTAATGAACAACTGGATGTTGATATTTAAAGTGGCGGCTCTCTAAGTATAAATATACTTTTCAGGGATGGTGATCAATATTGACAGAAAAGCTTGGCTGTTGTAGTATTCGAATTAGAAACGTCTGAGCGCTGACCTAGATAGCTTAACCTAATAGTTTGACATTTTTCTTCTAGTCACAATTTACTATCGATCAGGTCGAGTGTTACTTTCAGGTTAATAATATGATCAATCTAATGCATTTGTAAGAGGAAATTCCGGTCGACATCTAGGTGTGATAGACAGATCTGGTGCAAGTGCATAGGAATCCAAGTTGTTGCATTTTACATCGACTTGAGGGTGGAAGATAGCAGTCAGAAAACCATCAAAATGAAATAATGATAATGGTATCAATATCATAAAGTCCTGATGAAGTCATCAAGGCCGGTGATAAAACATTCAAGAGCGAAAGTCAAAGCTCAGAGATAAGAGTTTATTACCGATTTCTTTTGTATACTTATTCCTTCAAAACAGTGCTCAGAAATCGATCAAAAAGTAGTTTCCACAAACAAAAAATATATGGCAACAGTCCTATGGCGATGAAAGTAACAAGGAAACTATTAAATTCGACAAAATGATAATTATGCTTAGGTGGGTATTATTTCATTCAAGCGTTGGGTCGAACGGTACAAAAAAAGGGTAAGACAGAAACGATGGGTATGATGAAAATAACCGTGTGGAGCTAATTACTCATCGTAAGACTGAAAGAGTACATAAGAAAATTCAACCAAAGGTAATATGAGACTTAAACGTTCACAGTCCAATCTTAAATTGAAATGTCAATGATTCCACGACGCACGCTTTGCCAAACCACAACCTTCTTTCTGAATTATCTGTTTTCGTTTTGTAAATAAACTTAAAAACTGTCATTCAGTGTTCCCATCACTCCGAAATGTCTGTTAAAGCCAAGTGATTTAGGTCGACGGTTATTCAAAATGTTTGTTGTTTTGTACTACATTCCATTAAGGAACTGATATATATCGACTTTTCTGATTTATTTATCTGTATTTATAAGTCATACTTAATCAACATCAAAATCCCTCATATTCCGTGGTAAATTATTTTCTTAATAAGAATGGTACTGAATTGACGGACCACATTTTGTCAAATATTAGCCTGTAGGAACACTTTAAAAGGAGCACAAAAATTTATTATCGTATGCTCGTTCAATATAAAATGACAGCTAAACCATGATGGTGTACTTACTTATATATTGTCCACCTATCAATACAGAAATGGATACCGATAGTTCAAGAATACTTTCATTTGTGAAATTTAATGCATGTAATACAATCACAGCCCATGATGTAATTAAAAACCCCAAGAAAATAATAATGGAGATAACTTTACGCCAAATTCCACGATGCGCTACTAAATCTGCAGAAACACTGGCTACTGAACTTATATTGGTATGACCAACAGCACTGTAGGATTGATATGATGACATATTTGTTGTGTTAACTTCCTTCCTTTTTTAAAATTTCACATTTCAACTACCTCTGAGCGTCAGTCTGGTGAAAATAATCAAGCAAGATCGAGTCTAAAGAGAAAGAAATGAGAACACTTTTCATTATTAAGAACAGTGCTTAGTTCGTAAAGTTTTAGTGAATTGCCTCCTCAAAATACCAACAAAAAAAAACACAGCAAGAAAAACTTTCACTCTATATAACCGTTAAAATAAGAATCAGGAATTCAAGTTTTCTTTGTCTAGAATCTCATGCTCATTGTCTTTGAGGAATGGTGAACGTAAAGAGAATAAGTAGTAGTGCGACCTCATGCAATAAAACAATAGATATTTGACGAGAAGTGGTTTCAAACAGCAAGAAATTCCATATCCTTGAAACACATGCCAGTTAAGCAAATTTACAGGAGATAAATCTTTCCTGTCACCTCTTTGTAGAGGGGGTGACTTTTCCAAGTTTATTTAAATTTTTGGCATCTTTGTGCTTAGACAGCTTAGCCTATTGCATTTTTTGCTTCAATCGAAATAATTTTCAGTCAAAGTAAGACAGAAACGTTTTAGGGGGATTTCTCAAAGTTCCTCAGTGTAAACTATTTTTAACACAATTACAATGACGTTTCCATCTAATAAATATTTTTCATCATCTTACTATCTGAGATAGCCGTAGTTTGGCAGACTAGTATTTATAATGGGCGATGATTGAAGGTGAGATGAAAACTTGGACCGCAGCCAGTTTCGAACCAGTGACCACTGGGTTTCAGACCCGGTGCTCTACCTCGTAGCTCAGTTGGTGGGGCATTGGGCCGAAAACCCGGTGGTCACTGGTTCGAAACTGGCCGCGGTCCAAGTTTTCATCTCACCTTCAATCACCACCCGGTATAAAAGTTATTTATCCAGTCTTTCTTACCAGAGTTATAGCTTTTTAGAATTACATTTGTCTGTTGGTTGTCATTTTATCAAGTTTGACCTTAGCCTTTGCAAGATGGTCAACCCAATGTGTCGCAAAAACGTAAGTGGCAAGCCACGGTCCCATTTTACGGTGGACTTTGGTGTACAAAGTAATGAAGGCAGAAAATGGCACCAAAACAACAGCAAGAGCTTTATGTTTATAGCATGCAGGAAGAATAGCAGTGCAGGAAGCATCCGGCTTTACCCATCATGGTGCTTGGACACTTTCAGGCCGATAGAGGAAGTTAAGTCACATTCAACAACTCTGGAAAATGGTGAGTGGTCAGAAATAAGCGGTAAACTAGGAAGCCGTTTGCGGTCATAGACTCAACTGTCATCACTGAATAGAGAGACGAAAAAGTAGAACTCTGTGAAGAGCATGTTGTCTCCCACAAAACTAAAGAAGGTAGGGACCTAGAACCCTATGACCGTTTTTAACATGACTTTGATAAGTTTCAAAGTTCGTTAAACAAGTTATTGACAGAAAACACATCAGTGGTCATCTTACTCCAAATATACAGGATGTGGGAAAAAGTAGCAGTTCCGGTCGATAACAGGTTTAGACCACTAAAAGTTGTATTCAGGTCAACAGAGAAGAAAGACCTTCTCCTAAGGAATTTTCATAAACTTCAAGAAACCACTGTGTTCATTCACAATGGCTTTTCTCTTGCTAACAGAGTTAAAAACGAGAAACAGAGAAGGAAGTGAGACGCTGACTAGTAGTAAGAGATAAAGATCCAAGAGTAGTGGGCTCTCGTGCAGAGAGGTTTCAGAAAAAACGATGCTGAAGCTCCTATTTATAGGATGAAAGCTCACTTAAGTAATAACTTACGTGCTCAAGTGGCCTAGTGGATAACGCTTTGGCGTTTGCGGCGGTGGATACTGGGTTAGAGTCTCAGTGAGACACCATCACTTTCTGGGTTGCAGGCACAAGTCCCAAAACGTACTTTCTGGATTCCACCGCTAGTCACCAAAGTAAATACAACATCCCGAACATCCGGCAGTCTCGATGCATATGCTCAAGAGCCCATCTGACAAGAGAGATCAAGCGATTCGGCTTTGTATAACAACGGGAAATCACAAGTATCAAAGCAACAACTAATACCCGCTGCGTAAGAGGTGGTTATCATACGCCAGTGACCTAGCGGATGAGCTGATAGCATGTAGATCTCCTGTTACTTGAGAAAACCGTCACAGATGGCCTTAGCTTCAAAAACATGAATAAAGTTGAATACCTAACACCCCACGATAAGTTACCGGTTCAACCCCATAAACTAACCCAAGTATTCTGTATTTGAATCTGATCTCTAACCACTCTTATGCATAGTGATAAATTCATTGATAATAATAATTAACTCGCTGCTTTCATACTTATTCACAAGCAACAATAGGAATTTCTCGCCAGATATCTTCCGAAAAAATGAATTTTAACGATTAAGTAGTAAAATCTGCAAATAGTCATATAGTGGCAGTAAAATCTTTAGATTTTTAGCTCACGACAACCAGAACACAGAAAAAAGCAACCTTTCATGATTCACAATAGAGTATTTTTCTAGAAATATACGCAAGGTAAGCAGTATAAGAAGGTGAAGTAAAGGAGTGACTGAACGCCAAAAAAAGGTACGCAATCATAGGATACAGATGGTTTTCACAGTTTTAACTTTGGATTGGCTCATGTTAACTGATGCTAAGAACCTTTATAGTCACCTATGTTCTCAGGGGAAGAATAATAACAGGATTTTCATGCGAAATCTTAGGAAAAATTGAAAGACGAAATTCAACAGTAGTCGACCGAGTCGGCTACTAAACGAGCTTTGTAGTAGATAAATACAAATACTATGAGTCAACCCCACAGTTAAACTGCTTCCATTGGAATTCTACTGAACTCATGACGTCAAATAGTCCTAAGGTACTGTATGAATCTGAGTCAATTCATTTAGGAAAAGAACTGTACCCGCAGGTAGTGTACACACTGAAAAATTCACGCTTTTTAAGAAAGGAATGAACTATGTTGACTGAATTGAAGAAATAACTATTTTTTCAATTACTTCGTTCAATATTCTTATCCTTACAGTGATATTGAGACGTAGTGACACAAAAGCATCAATCATACTTTGAAATGCAATATTATAATCTGAATTTAACTGAAATTTCCAGCAATAACTAAAAGCAATAAAATGAGAATACCTGACAGGAAGTCCGAAATTTATAACTAGCGGCGCTTACCTTCACGCTGAATACGACAACTTTAACGAACGTAAACAACTAAGGCCATACGTCCAATATTCAATTGGCAATAACATTTTAGGAGCTAGCGTAAGCAAGCTGATCTCTTCGCGTCCACTTTAAGGTCTTGCAAGAAGGTTCCAGGTCTGCAGTGAATTACGATGCAGTATGTTTACCCACTCGCTCTGCTTTGCCCAAAGGGCGATTAGGTGTAGATTAAATTTGTGGGGATTGCATGGCTTTTTCAAGGACTGTGGTACATATGAGTTCCCCAAGTATCGTGCCACCAGTAAATTGATTTACCTGGTTGTAGAAGGGAAACAGAAAAGATGTCCAGAGAAATCAAGAGAAAGGAAGTACCAAGTAAAAGAAACAAAAAACGATTAGACGAAAGGAATCGGGAGGGAAGGGAGGGAGAAACCTAGGCAGATTCATAGGAGATAAGGGATGAGAAGAATTTTTAATAAACAGTGTGAGAGTATAAAGCCAGTGGGAACAGAACGAGTAAGTAAGCTTATAGGGCTGGTTACGGGAAGGGAGATAGCAATACTATTAGTAGGAGATGGTAACCGGAGATGTCTAAAGGGAAGTATAAGACTGAGTCGAGTTCGAGATGATAGCGGCGTTACAAAAGGTCCGGTGATCGGTTTTCTGTGCTGAGTTCTGCGGAATTGGTGGGCAGTATCAAGGTAGTCCATACCCTGGCTAGATGAGCGCAAACCATGCGTCGCTGAGTAGCTATCCAAGCTCTTCCTGAAACTGTCAACGCACCTAGCAGTAGCGATCTAAGCACGCAATGTATTCTCATGGCCGCAAGCTTGCAGGGCAAATAAGTGTGAACGCACACAAGTTTTTGACCTTTGGTGGGCGATTCTCCTTGGGTTACCACTAGGATTGCTACAGCGGTCGTTCGGTATGATCTAACTGTTCGGATCACTTAGGTTATTGCCTGTGTTTTACGGGCAATTATCAAGTCACAACAATAACCCACGGCAGCTAAGAGAGCAAAGCCCTAGGTCTTTCAGCCTGTCTTCGTGGGATTTTTGTCTCGTTTTCACGGCACTCTTTGTTGTTGGCCTCTGAACTTTCTGCAGGAGGTTCACATCTCCTTTCGTGTATGGTGAAGCAGTGACGTTGTAGAACCCTAGGTGAGGTCCTATGTATGTCTCATCTAGCCTCAGCAAGAGTTCCGGAGTGAAGGGACCTAGTTGTCTACGCTTGAAGTGCAATACTGCGTAGGTTCAGGAGGCATCTCCCGGGTAAATGGAGCTAGTGTCTAGCTTGTCAGTCAGCTTTTGTCCCAAACCTTTTTCCGTGGTACTGCAGGAAAGTTGTGTTCCACAGAGAGAGTAGGGTACCTTCAGACTAAACGCCAGTTCGTTGTTATCCACCCACTCTGCAAGCAACCTGAGATCACTTCGCTGAGCATTTGATTCTGCGTTGAATGTTGGCTTAAAGATGCGTTAAAACCCATGGGGAAAACCTAGTCACAACTTCTTGCCACGAAACAGAAACAGGAACCTTATCAGCAAATACGCAGTGAAACACGACTCACCCTACTACAATATGATGCTCAAGATAAGAGGCCTTATAGCTTTTTCCCGCTACCCCACAATATCAAAATTCTTCATTTTTCGGCTGGCACTTATCTTCTTCACAGGTCTAATTATACAACCCACTCGTCTAGTTAGCGCCTTCCACAGCGACCTTCAGTTTTCAGTGGGACTACATTGCCTCATCCTTTGCTACTGATAACTGCTTGGTACTGTATCTACTTCAATGTTCAGGCTAGTCAGGGCAAAACACATCACCAAAATCGAGCGATGTTACACTGTTTTCTGTCAAGATAATTCTTCTATCACCACTCTGCTTTCTCGACTTTGTCTTTGGTTACAGGACTGTACACCATGATCTCCTGATTTTGCCACTATTTCAGATACCGTTGGAGGAGCATGCTGTTCCTTGGTAGTACTTAAGCCACTTGGGGGTCACAGCAACTATGATGTCTGTCACTTGGATGTCTTTAAGTTACCTCTAAGCGTCAATAAGCACCTAGACAATACAAATCCCATGATGCTGCATAATCCTTGGCCATATGAGGGCAGTGGCATCCTAGTGGTTTTACTTCTGCGTGATGGACCGTTGTTCAGATATTTCAGATATAAAACAGCCCGCATATTTCAACAAGGCAGGAGCTGTGGTCAAAAGGCAACTACTCTAATGCTGCCCACCTCACGTAAATTACTAACGTCAGGATAACACATTTACTTGTTTACTTATTTATTTATAAGCGAAGTAATCTGCATCAATCCACCTGATGGCATGGTTTCACATCCCTTAGCGAATTAATCTACAATGACGAGGACATACGTATTTCCTTTAGTCGCTTCACGTAGCGGTTCAATTATACATACTCCAACGACTTCATTCTAGAAACTATCGTTCATGTTAACAAGAGGTGCGTTTGGTTCCCTTGAGAGATTCTGATGCCCCCCCCCACAACCACAGAGGGGGTTCCGGACATTTTTCTGCGGCCATTCCGTCAACAGCGTCATTTGTGCACAGCATTCAAGTATTGCCTACATGCACCAAATCGATGCGAACTTTCTCCGGAGTCGCCATCACTGATGACCCATGTATCGCACTCGTCCGGCGCAGTCAGGGCCAGGACACAGTATAGCATCAACTGTCACTAACTGACTCCATACTGCCCATATACACTTTGTCTCTTAACTCCTTTCTCTGATTTCAGCCGCTTCAGGCCTCACCTTGTCGTTACTGGCTGCCCGATGGAACAGCGATGTTTCCTTCTCTGTGGCTTGTGCATGTACCCAATCCTGACTGCTGAGACCTGTTAACGCACCGTACTTTTTTCAGGGTAATCAACATTTCCTTCCCCAGCACGCAGTGATTCCCCTCTGCTTTTTCGGCTGCACTTCCCTACTTAGTTACATTTTCCTTACCATCATCACCTACTTGAGAAGGTACCTCGCTGATTTGTATCTTCATTCAAGATTCAACCATCAACAGCGGGAGACATATCAGAAGTAGTTCAAACAGACTCGGAACACAGAAGGTTCTTCAGGTGCTTAAAGGTATTCTGGCTGTGAGGCGAATAGATGAGTAGAGCGGTTTAACCTGCAAAATGGGCAAGTGGACTACCGATTTCTGCAGGGGTTTTCATCAGGTGTCAAAAGTACATTGCTGAACAAAAACACTGGAGCACCTCATTTACAAATGTTGGTCAAGATAGCCCCTCGTTTTTCCCTTTTCAAGTTCATGACCAACTCCCTGTGATTCTTAGACATGATCAACGAAATCCACCTCGTTCCTGCTCCAGCAGCTTCTGAATGCTGTGTTTTAAGCCCGATGCCTTTCAGGCGTCGCAAACTTCGCTCAGTTATTTAATGTGCCTATCAGCTGTGCTGCTGAACGCTATGACAGAGTGTACACATATCTGGCATCGATTTTTCAAGCGTAGCACATATCACATGTCCAAAATCTGCACAGGCATCTTTCACTCCAAAAGGAACAGTTTGGAATACCCACTACTCCGTCATGGTAGCCACCACCGCTTCCGGTCTAGTATCAGGGTGTTCTCCCCCTACTTATATCCGAAGGCCATATCAACAAAGAAGAACCAGCGGAAACTCGCTACCGCTCCAAAAGTTTTATCCATGAACGTCGAAGGAAATAAATCTTTGTGATATGGTTTGACTTTCTACATTCTACATACAGACAAAATTTTCTATCACTTTTTCTGACCGAAGCTGAATAAGAAAATTGGGGAAATGAGGATGCTGGACGATTCCCTTCACCGACATATCTTCAGTGGGGTTCGCAAGCTTAGGTGGAGATCCCGCACGCGCGTTACAAGCTGTCTGTCTCAGCACGTCTACTTACCTTTGCCTTTTCCAGAAGAAATCTTAGTGTCATTTTGGATCAGTTCACGGTTCTCCCTTATGTGTTCACCGGGGGGTTGCTTGGATACATTGGTGTATTGGTTACGCATATTGCAGCCGATATTTAAGGTCATGGGCTGGCTTGAGTCGAGGGTTCTAGGTCTCTGTCAGACCTCAGCGGGAGGCCTCCTATCTTTCATGGGGTTTGAAACTTCAGTTTGAGGTTTTGTTTTCACAAATCCAGGTCTACAATGTTAGGTGACGTGATTTGGTTATATATTTCACGGTCAGTTGTTTCCCTCCTCATGTATGTCGTTTTCTATGCAGCTGACTGCAGGTTTCGAGAGAGTTGAAACCTTAAAGTAAGGTATGGTGGAAGGGCCATCCACCGTTCCAGTACCCTGCACTGCAGCCGAGGCCGTGTGACCATCCAGCCTGTGAGTTTGGTTGTAAACCTGCCCTTTCATCCTTGTTTCACCAAGAATTACCTTTAGTGCTTTAAAGTTCGTGTTGTTCGGAAGGGTAGATTCTGCCTTGACGAATTCTTCTGCCTCCACCTGTGTTTTAAACTGAAAGCCTGTTGCACAGCAGTGGCCCTGTTGGCTCTCTTTCAGTGTGTAACATTTTGTATGTAAATCATGTACTCTTGCCGTTTCAAGCACAAATTCTCCTACGGTGGTCAGTTTTATCATGTCGAGGTCTTCGAAAACCGTTACGTTGGTCTTTGGTAAAGGTCTCTTAGTTACATCAGCATCGATAAATTTTACCGAGCGATATGCTTTGGTTGGCGTTTCAGTATCGGTCTCGACAATCAGTTCATTACAGGTCAAGATGCGCAGGAGCGGGAGGTCGCCAATCTGAGCACCCGACTGAGATAATACTTCGGATGTTACTATCGTATTATCTTGGGGCAGGTTCTTTCGTTGTTTTTCCCTGCCACCTCCCGCATTTCTGTCTCTAGTTCTCCTAAAAACTACTTCAGACTTTCTATTCCTGCGAAGGACACCGGTGTCAGACCTTGTGATTGAAGTTTAGTTGGCCGTACATGAGGTATGGCGCTCCCATAGTTATTTTCAAAATAATAACAATATTTATTCC